CAAAAAATTATTTGTTACAAAACCTTACAAAATCACCCCTTAAACCACTTTGGCAAGTTTTCAGGCTCCAATATTAGTTTTGAGAATTCAGAAGCCATCAGTATTCTGTCTGTGAACTAGAACAACTAAAATAAATGTGGTATTTAGATATATTTATAATTATAAATTGATGTTTATAAAACAAATGTTTTTAGGGTTTAAGCTTTCTGCCTACTAGTAAACACTATACAAGTAAAAACCATGACCTAATTATGAGAAAGGGATGCTTTCCTGATTAGGGACCTATAACCTGAAATACTCAAATGACTTTGTCAACTTTAATCTCAGTGCTCAGATTAAGTTTGCAGGGTTGGCATTTAGAAAAAAAATAAGTTAACTGATCAAATTTGGCATTTAAATTAGTTGAACAAAATGAGTATGGATCTCCAGAATACCACTTTTTAAAATTAAGTGTCTTTTCAGAAGAGAACTACACTTTAACAAACATGCAATTTTGAAAAGTGTTCCTACTTAAAATGCCAGGTGGCCTTATTCTGCAAAATATTTATTTGGAGAGCACTTGTCTAATAAATTCTGGCTGACAGGACAGCCAAGATTCAGTTCTTCCCTGTTTAGAATTAAAGGCAGTTTAGCTCATCCTTCTCTCAGATTTTGGACTACAGACTGTTTTCCAAGCCCAAGGATCAGTCTGAAGTGATCAACATACTACTCTGAAGCATAGCCATGTATGAATTGAAGGAAGAGGTGGACCTGTGCCCATTCTGAAGCAGCGTGGATGAAGTAGATCAGCCTGAATTAAAATCCTTTGACTTTCTTGTACACATGAAGTATTCCAACTAGCACTAGAAACAGTACAACTGGCATCTTTACACTGGACGTGAAAAGCAATAAACACTGTAGAAGTCTTCTGCAATTGAGAATTTATATATATTTTATTTTTTAAGTCTTCCAAGAAGTTCATCCTGCAATAGGAGCTATAATCAAAGCTTCTGGACAAGAATTATCTCTTTATTATTTCATACAGATACAGTTTATGAAATGAAACCAAATTTGATTTTTAAAAAACATATGGAAGTTGAACTATATTTGAAAGACAATATTGTACCATTCATACAATGGGATTAATTGGCCTTCGAACACTAAAATTCAAGCATTGCATATATTAAGTGTGCCTTTCCAGAGAACTTTGTATAAATTAATTTAAAATAGTCATGCACTGCAAATGATTACACACATGGCAGACAAATGAAAAATGACTGTGTCATTAATAGTTGGAGGTTGAGGGGGCTGTTCTTTTTGTTTAAAGAGATGGAACTACTGATATCCTTGCAGACTGACAGCAGCCCAGCACAGCTGCCAATGTCCCCAGTTAAACCTTCACTCTTATGGTATCACTGTTTCTCATGAAAGCACTGAAAATGTCCTTCACATGAAATGCTACAGTCTCAACAAAGGGAGCACATATTTAAAAAGACGCCAAAAACTCTGAAAAAATATTTTTAGCTACGTTTTGTTATACAAATGCAGCACTGAAAATGTTGGCAGATATATTTCCGTTAGCCTTTAGCCTTCCGTTAGGCACTGGTAATTTTGCACTTCTTTGTAATAATGAAGCATTTTGCATTTGTACTAGTGGCAACAAAATAAACTCACATTTCAATTAGTATAAATGTCATATATTCTCAGAAAGAAACAGACAATTGGAAATGTGATGGCATTCTTTAGAAAAACTGCTTTGCATAAACTACAGGACAAAAATATAACAAGCTTTTCACATATGCAGCATACAAAACTGATCAGCCTGGACAAAATAATACTTTCCACTTCTATAATGCCGGCTGTATAAGGATCTCAAAGCTCTTCACAAATATTAATATATTTATTTTTACAGATTTGGAAACTATCACAAATTAAGTGACTGGGTCAAGATCACAGGAAGCCTGTGATAGAAGAAATGGAACCCAGACTTTCCAGCTTTTAGCCTCTCTCTTAACCACGGGGCTTGCAAGATTTGTCACCTACTAGACCGAAGACTAAACCTGCTACCTGGGGTGCCATATCCCTTGCAATTTAAAGCACTGTACTCTGCGCACTCTTTAATGACAACATATCTAACTGCTTTCTGTTAAGTACGTTTAAGAAAGTGGAACCTACTATGTCTCACCTTTGTTACTTTCTTTCCCTTCCTGGTTTCACTCCTCTCTTTCCTTTCCTATAATAGACGATGGCACATTTTCTCCTGTGCGGTCTTCAGTGTCAGCTTCCATTTTAACTTCTCTCCATCCAGCCCCTCTTCTCTCCTATCTCTTTATCTCTACTTTGTTTCCTTTCTTCTCCCACTCTTCCCCCTGTCAAATAATCTTTCTAAATACCACGCTAGCCTATTTTAATTTGCATCAACCTCTCCTTCACCCAATCCCATCACATCCAGGACTGGAAATTTTACCAAACTCCTAATAGCCCGAGAACTATACCTATTAGTCAAAAATTGATACAAAATATAGTGCCCACCATTGTCCAGCAGAAATGCCTAGGTCAGAAGCCAACCACCTCCTCCCCCAGCTACTGGGAATGCAAGGATGCTGGAATTCCTGCCAGGGTGCTGTCCCAACACCCTGCTCAATGGGTTTCACATCCTTTTCTATCAATCACAAGCCAGTAGGTCTCTGGTAAATCTGTAGCCTGGACTTAACCCATTCTGGTGGCTGGAAGGAAGAAGCATTTTTGTCAGTTACACTGTAGCCCATTGGTTCTGAATAGCAGTAGGATTTACTCGGCTGCCAACAAAGCTACAAGCAGTGGCAAGCTACTTGCAGATTTAAGACTTTGTTGGACAGAGGGGGAAAGTGATGCATGTTTGTGAGATAATCTTCATAAGCGCAAGGGCTAAACACAAGATTTTTTAAAATAAAAGTTGAGATCCTGTAGAAGTTTATGATACTCAAAAAGCTTCATGATCTAGTGGCTTTCTCAAGTCCTGCTTAACCACAAGGCCTATGTCACTTATGAGTCCAACTTTACTTTCACATGTTTAGAAACCAGAAGAAACAGTTTATTTCATGTCATTTTAATTATATGCAAACATTAAAATGAAATACATAACTGATGTCGTGATCAAGCAACATCTTACTTTGGCAACACTTCTGGAAAAGCAGGCAGGTCTTAAGATTCCTCTCCCGCACAGAAAGTTATATGATCTTTCTATCAACTTGCAACATTAAGTGTTGACCTGAATTGCTTTTGTAAAGAACACTAAAATGCCAAGCACATGTAGACTTGCAGGGGGCAAAGGGAAACCTGAAAGAGATGATACTATCAGGAACCTAGAGCTGTGCATGTTTCACAGGAAAATACTCTACTCTGAGTGCTTTTCAACATCAACTCCTGTACTTCATTTGGTAAATAAGTAAATAGATTTTTTTTCAAATACCTGGTTTTACATTTTACTTTATAGCTTAATTATATAAATTAATTATTTGAATTTACCATGTCCCATAATCAATGTCAAGAGAAAACTAAATTAAAACACAATAAGTTCAAAATGGACAACAGGAAATGCTACTTTACTCATTAACAGGTAGAAACTACTGTTACAAACAGCAAGATTCAAAACAGAACAGAAAAAATAGCATCTGTATTTACACTAACTAAATATAAATTATAGGGACTATCAAACCTCATGCTTCAGGGTATCTGTAAATTACCGTATATACTCTATCATAAGCCGGTTCGTTTATAAGCTGACCCCCCCAAGATGGATAAGTAAAAATGAAAAAATGTTATGACCCATTCATAAAACGACCCTATAATTCAGGGGTCAGCAAACTTTGGCTCCCGGGCCATCAGGATAAGCCACTAGTGGGCCGAGATAGTTTGTTTACCTCGAGCGTCCGCAGGCACGGAAGTAAACCTAAGTAAACAAAGTGTCCCGGCCCACCAGCGGCTTACCCTGACGGGCAGGGACAGCAACTGGTGGGGAAAATGTTTTTTGGGAGGAGAAGCTGGGGGTCAGGGGAGTAACTTCTGTGACCACCCCCCACATGACCCCACCCCTAGCCTGGGACCCCCACATTCTCCCCATCCCATCCCTTCCCACCTTATCTGGGGAGGGCCAGGGGAGGATGTCTCTGGCCTGGCTGGAGCTGCTCAGGCAGGCTGGGCAGTGCGGCCGCAGCCTGATCCGGCGGACCAGACTGGGAGGCGTGGCCGCAGCGTGTTCCAGCGGGCTGGGCCGGGCGGCACAGCCGCAGGGTGCTCCGGCGGGCCGGGCGGTGCGTCCACAGCCTGCTCTTAGGGGCGGGGCCGAGCGGCACGGCTGCAGCCTGCCAGCCCCGGAGCTGCAGCTACTTCGGAAGCTGGAGGGAGAGCAGTGTGGCCAGAAGCAGAGAGACTCTGGCCCCGCCTCTTCCCTTCTGGCTCTGCTGGCTGTGCTGCCTTTCCTTGCTCCCTCTATTGGGGGGAGGGGCTGTGTCCCACCTCTCCCTCTCTATACCCGTTCATAAGCCGACCCCCTTCTCTGATGCTTCCCTTTTTTACTAAAAAAAAATGCGGCTTATGAACAAGTATATATGGTAATTACCAAATAGGGGCTGGAGAGATATGTCCCAAGGCACAGCATTATTCATTTTGCCAGATGCCTTATGGGACTGTTTGCCTTCATCTGAAATATGGACTAGACACCACTGACAGACAGCCACGTTGGGACAGTTCAATGATCCATCTAATACACGATTCTATATAAATTTCTTAAGATAATAAAAATTAAACAAAATGTATATGTAGCATAAAGGCAAAAAAATCTGATAAACTACATTAATAAATTAATATAATAATAATCTAACATGTGAGTCAGGTGCAGTAGGATGCTCCACTGTTTTAATGCGAACTGTCTTTTCTTATCCACACCATGCAGCACAACATCAGATAAACCAAACCCTTGTTGTATCTCCTGTATGATTTCAGTAACACATACTGGATGATATAAGTAAAAACTGTCTCACTTGTGAAATATGGTTGATTGAAGATTCCATGCGCCGAAGCTGGGATGCCTGGATATCCAGCATTTGGAGAACATTGTTGGCCAAAGTGTTGATCAGATAAGCTACACTTGCTAAGGACTGGGTTGTGTAGGCTTTGGTTTCTTCTAAAGCTCGCTGTTTATCTGCTGACTAAAAGCAGGGAAAAAAAACATTTGTTAAAAGGAACTGACAGACATGAAGGTTTGACATATGAATTGCATTTGCATCCCTCTAAAGGACAGGAATTTCTACAATTCTACGAAATCAAGTCTCTCTCATTATATATTAAAATTACTACTTTTCTTCACCTAAAATTGTTAATTACCCAAAAAAGATTAAGTAACGGTTCTAGTCAAACAGAGTTTCTTGTTTTTGCAATGAAAGGAAAATTTTTGAAGCTGTTATATAATATCCTGTCTCAAGAAGCCTTTAAAAATACACTAGTACCACTACTAATGCTTAGTTAGCTCTTACACATGGGCTTGGCAGGATTTGGTTTAAATTGACAGATGTCAGCAAATGTCAATTTCAGCTGATACACTGAAACGGACAAGAACATATCCATCAGCAACAGTCATCACAAGTGCAGTCTCCATCCTTCCCCTCTATGCACCTTGCGCCTCCAGGGATTGGGTGTCACTGGCCCTGCAGCAGCACAGAAAGCCCTCATGGGAGCGACTGAGCAGGGCTGTGACAGCGGAGCTGCAGAGGGTTCCCTGATGATACTGAATCCCTGCAAGTCCAAGTTGCAGGGGAAGCTACGGTCCTGGCAGGGCAGAGCAGAGATCCCAACCAGGGCTGTGAGGAGGAAGATGGCTGCAAGGGAGGTCACCCTGCTGCTGAATGGTCTCCCCGGTGTCTAGGAGTTTGTCCATCTGGCAGTCCTGGCCAGGGGCATTTGCTCTGCCCGGCCAGGACTGCAGCCTTCCCTGCACTTTGTGCCTGAAGAGTGTTGCAGCACAGGGTGCCATCACTGCCCTAACTCCCACCCTTAATTTCATGCAACTGTGAAAATTAGAATTGTTAAAAATCAGGGGAAATTTTTAAATAAAAATCAACAATCATCAAAATACAAATCAAATTCTGCCATGCCTACTTCTAAAGTGCTTTTCATCAGTAGATCTCAAAGCACTCACCAGTACTTAAAACATAAAAGTTCCACAATATTTTTAAATTCATGATTGTTCATTTATCCATTTACAGATGCAAAATGCTCATTACAGAATTCCAATACTCCTCTCTCAACTTTGTGTGCTTTAATTAGATCTTGCACTAAATGCCTGAAATAATCCACCAAATAGAATATTCAATTGTTCCAATTATTCAGACCTCAATGGGCTTAAATGGGCTTTAAAAATGGGCTTTAAAATGGAAGTGAGTTTTCACAATGGATGAACTGTAATTGTTTTCCTAAAATGGTAGCAAAAATATTACCATACTAGAAAAATCACTTTAAAATGATTCAGTTAGTAGTACATTTTATAAAAAACCTTAATACTCCTACAAGTTTGAATACAGGCAGTCGTCGGACACAATTGGTTCCTGAAAAATCGCGTCTTAAGTCGAAACGTTGTAACTTGATTTTTCCATAGGAACAATGTCTGATCGAGCATCGTAAAGTTGAAACTGATGTCGTAAAGTCAAAACTGACATCGGAAAGTTGAAACAGGATGTCAATTTATAAACGTTGTGAGTGCCGTTCATCGTAACTTGAATGTTGTTAAGTCGAGAACTGCCTGTACTCTTCACTCTCCTTTTTTAATCAGTCCTCACTTTGTTCAACTTTCAGACAACTGGACATGAAAATTTGACACTAAAAATATTTAGGGATACCAAACCAGCAGATTGCCATTTAAAAATGTAACACAGGCACAGATATTTTGAAACAGATTTAGAATTAATAACTTGCTAAGAACTCATGCCCTCAGGTTCTGCTTTTCTCCTGGAACAGCAGAGGACATCACAAACACCTAAATTAGTTCAAGGAATACAGATAAAAGCATTGTTTAAGATATGAGAAATGTCAACTGTTGCAAGAGAAACAAATCTGAGATTCTGAACTCTAGTCTTCCATGTTAACATATGCCAAAAGAGAACAGCCTTTGGTTAGGCAATGCCTATTCTCAGCATAGCCACAAAAATAACTCTCAGTGCAGGTACCTTGGTTCTACTATGATTTCAAGTTATTTCTCGTTGTTCGTGCATCAATATCATAAGATAACTGAGAACCAGTGCACTGTCTACATTTGTTTCTACAGCATCCAGCAAAAAAGACCACTCATTCTGATCAGAGCCTCTGGGCACTACTACAGTGATATAAATATTAAATAATACTAAAATAATTGACTGCTGCCACAGAAGACAAAACACTGAATATTGTTTCATTTCTCCCCCCCACCCCCGCCCTTAAAGAGTTTCACAAATGGGAAGGCAACTCCCATTCCTTTCATGTATTTATACCTGCTCCTGTATTTTCCACTTCATGCATCTGATGAAGTGGGTTCTAGCCCACGAAAGCTTATGCCCAAATAAATTTGTTAGTCTCTAAGGTGCCACAAGGACTCCACATTGCTTTTACAAATGGCCTAGTCTCCATGCCCCAATACTAAGCTATATTTAGAATCTAAAGAAGTTTTGCCGCTCACTCTACGTATTTTTCACACAGGTTAATCTTAAAAATTTGATATGTGCCTTTGTTATAGAGATACTAGCCAAATGATTCAGATTCTTATAACGCTACCAAATTGGTCAATGATCTACTTGAGTGCAAATATTTTGTGAAACATTGAATGTAAACCGTGTCTCTCTACTCCAGGAATAATTATTCCCAGGGCCTGAAAAATTTTCCTGACACCCACTTGCCTGAGGACTAAATTTGCTAGCCTTCACGAAAAATACCTATATCAACATATATACAATATTTCAGTCTGTCACCACCCATCCCCCAAAATCAACATAATACATCCTCCTCCCAGTCTTAGCAGGTTCCTCTTTGCCCACATACTCAACAATGGCGGTCTACATAGCTCCCTTCTTTCTCCCAGCCTGCTTCCTGGGAAAAGGGATGGCAGCTGCTGCTCAACCACACCAATGACTATTTCCCAGCTCATAATCAAAAGGGAGAAAACACTGGCCAGACAGTTTTTTGCCAACCCAGCAACGGCAGGAATTGACTAATGTATTTGACAACTACTATGAACACAAGGTGGGGTCCCTATGCAGAAAAATGCCATGGTAAGATGTCCCCTCTCCAACTTCCCTTCCATTATGACCAGCTGATGGGAAGTGGGTAGAATGCTGTCTCTAGGGCTTTTCATATCCTTTGGCTAGTGTAAGTCTGATGTACTTGAAGATCCACCCCAACCCACCCCAAGAGAAAAGGATAGGACAGGAACGGGGGTGGGGGGGAGAAGAGAGAGAGAGAGAGAGCGATCTGTCACCTTTCCCCACTCCAAAGCCTTTTGGCTGTAATGGAGATCCACCTACTTCCCTACTCCATTTCCCTGTGAATGACTTCAGCTCAGTTTTCCCAAGCGCATGAAGCATTACAACTGATAAACCACCAGAAAATTTCACAGCTCAAAAGATTTGCGAATGGCAATAATAAAACTGTCTGTAATCCTATTAGTTTTATTCTGCAGCATCTTGGCAATTCTATGAACAGAACCAAAAATGCCAATTTGAATCTACACAGAGAACATTCTGGCCAGCTGACATTAGAAATCTCCAAATGCAACAAGGATTTTTAACCATTTCACAATTATTTGCAGCCAAACTTTTTCAGAACAAGAGACAGGCAATTTATCATTTTAAAAACAGCACAGCCTATGCTACGACTCTGTTGTTAACAGAAAAATCTATTAATCTATTTTACGTTCAGGGCCAGCTCCTCAGTTGGTGTAGACTGATGTAGCTCCATTGAAGTCAGAACTATGCCAGTTCATAGCAAGTGCGGATCTGGAGCTTAGGGCTTGTCTTCACTGCAGCATTAGCTCGACTAATAACTCAAGTTCTGCAACTAATCCAATCCCCTCCACACACAAAAATCTGTAGCTCGAGTTAAATGGTGCTTTAAACTCAAGCTAGATGGCCCATCGAGGGAGTCAGTGCTGAAGCTCAACTGCTGGTGACTCTGGAGTAATGTAGTAGTGATGCAACAGACTAAATTACAATAAAGTCATCATCTGCTAATTCAATTACTCTGTGCAGTTGAGATGGTTCAGTGTGATCCCTCTCACTAAGGGCTTGTCTAGCCTTAAAATGCCACAGCAGCATTGCCTCAGCGATAGCACTTCGGCGTAGGCAGCGTCTACACCGACAGGGGTGATTTTCCCATTGGTGTAGGTAATCCATCGCCACACCCTGAGAGATGTAGTTATGCCAACTTAATTTTCTAGTGTAGACCAGACTTAAGTGGAGTAACTCAAGGCTGATCTACACTGAAAAGTTACACTGGCATCGCTACGTCTCTCAGGTGCAGATAAGCCGACCTAAGGCTATGGCTACACTAGAGAGCTTACAATGCCGCAGCTATGCTGCTGTAAGCTCTCTAGTGTAGCCGCTCTAAGACGATGAGAGAGAGCTCTCCCATCCACTTAATTAATCCACCCCCAATGAGCAGCAGTAGCTATGTTGGCAGGGGAAGCTCTCCCACAACATAGCACTGTCCACACTGGTGCTTAGGTCGGTGTAGCTTATGTCACTCAGGGGGGTGGCTTATTCACATCCCTAAGCGACCTACATTATACCAATATAAGTGGTAGTGTAGACATAACCTAAGTCCCTGTGTAGACAGTGTTAGGTCAATGGTCCATGGAAGAATTCTTCTGTTGAACTAGCTAACGCCTCTTGGGGAGATGGATTACCTATGCTAACGGAAGAATCCCTCCTGTTGACGTAGGCAGCATCTACACTGAAGCACTACAGCGGTACAGCATCTTATGTACAGACCACCTCAGTGAGCAAACAGTTGCAGTGAAGAAAACTCCTCAACACCAAAATAAAGAAAGCATTTACACATTTTATATTAACATTATCTTGTAACCACTTTTGTCACTACTTTAAGCACAGAAACTTTGTAATATAATACATGCATTTTTGCAGGCCATCTGTTAATCACAGTATTTTGCTCAGCCTCTGAAATTCTTTGA